AAAGTGAAGAATAAATACTACGTCAAGTTTCCACTGCGCATTCCACCGCACGCTGACTCAATTTTACTCAAGTGATTTATAGTTAGTAATATTGAAATTCAATCTGCACTGCCCCATTTCCACTCCGTTTTGAATTCGCTCCTGTCGTCGAGATTTTAGCGTTTGAATTTTCATTTACTAGTTTTTATCATTCAAATCAGGAGAGAATTCGTATTCTAAAATCTGGTAAATTGGTATAAATAGTCGATTGGAGGAATTTGACATCAGTTTCATTTTTTATATGGTTTAGGTCCGGTTTCACTGGACTCAAGAAGTGAGTGAGTTAGCGTTGGGACGAACACTTCTGTGTGGCCAGCCATTCACACAGAGCAACAATATTGGAACGGTGTTGGTGAATTTCTTGCTATTATCGATCAAGAATTGTTTTATTGATGACAGATATGGAATGAAGTTTATGAAAACTGTCGCATTTGAATTTAAACGTTCACCGATTCGGATTGCTACGTTTGCCACATAGAATCGGGTTATATCAAAACCAATCAAGAATTTTTGGAAGATCCGGCCAATTTGATCATCTTTCGTAGGTATGCTGTTAGTTGATGGATGTCTCATCGATTTTGTGTCTTATGAGACTCACGAGCTATTTGTGAGCCTCATTGTTGGTCCATGGCTCACAAAAGTGGACGACGAACTGAACCATTCTTTGACTCACTTTCGGTTTACGGTTCGTGATCAAGCCGAATTTGATTGGGAAAAATTTTAGAGAGGAGATGCCACATGCGATGCACTGAATTTTCAACGATTAAGAAAGTTCGAAAATGTGACAATTTTTTAGAATTAACACAAAATGAGTAAAGAACTTTCACCAAAGTTACCGAAAGTCGGTGAAATNAATATTTAAAACAAAGAAAACGCAATATGAAGCAAGTTTCATCTTTCGTTTATTTGTTTCTGGAATTTTACGAGTAGCAGTTACTACGGCAAATATAGTTGGCTCTCGGCACCAATGATTTCAGAAGTTAAGCAAGAATTAAAAACAATGATCATTTAGATTAGCAGGTTTCCATATATGCTGACAGGATTCTTGAAATATTGCCTCTGTAAGCTTTTAAGGGAATGTCTTAAGAGCGGAACGGTGACCAAAATTAAGTATGTGAATATTTAGACGTTAAGATTACTCGGTAAAGGTGGATTTGGTGCCGTTTATGAAGTGAAACGACAGTTGGATGGTCAAGTTTTTGCGATGAAATGCGAATTAATCGACGTCAGGAAACGAGTAAGTTATTGTAGAATAGAACATTGATTTAATCGTCATGTTATAATATTTCGTCATTCCAGGAGGAAAATGATGCAATATAACAGTGATTCGCGTAGGGAAAAATTCCCACTTCGGCAATTTGCAGGTTTCAGGAGGATAACTGAGAACGTGGCAGCTCGTTGCTAATTGATTCTCCTCGACATTTCCCCAATGAATGTTTTCAAAATATCAAAATATTTTCAAAATATTTTCAAAATATCAAAATATTTCAAAAAATATTTCTCCAATATTTCCTCGACATTTCAAAAC